TTTGAACGTTTTTTGGAAGCCGAACATCCAACATGGCTTCCACTTGAGTGCAAGAAGCTCTTGCAACCAATCAGAAGCCATGCCTTGGTTGCCGAATGTTTCAGAAGCCAAGGGGGCTTCCGGAACAGATTACGTTTGACAACTGAGGTTTGACTGTAAAAGCCTCCCCTATACAGCCTGGTTTAGTTTTTGTTTTGTCCTCATAGTGGTAAAAACATAAGATTGTATCCATCATGTGTCAAGTTTCCTTTCTGGAAAGCAACACGTGAACAGGATCTTACTTCTTTGTCATGTATATTTTAAAGTCATCTACTTCTAGATGACACTGTACTTCTGGGGGTAAATATTGGATTTCACAGTTTGCTTCCGACAGCACGCAGAGAGATAATGTCACTACGTTCTTCAGTTCTTGCCAATGAGGAATTTGAATAGGAAACTCCCTGTATTTTTAAAGTTTAGCTCACTCTATTTTGCTTTGAACTCTAATATGGAGACAAACTTGCTCAGAACAGGTCATCTGCCTGGAATTGCCCAAAACAGTTTTCTTCGGAATTAAAGCTACCAGGAACTGAGTTTGTTGTATCAAAGAGAACCTGTAGTCTGCATAGCTTGAGCTTTTACTGAGTTAGTGTTCAATTTGCATAGCATTTTGCTAATTCATTTACATAAGGCTGAGCATGTTTACAAAGTTCAGAAAACGTGATTTAGAGCACTTTGATTTTACCAGAGAAGCCCCTTTAGAACAAAGTAAGCCCTGCAGAACCTGAGGTGTTACATCAAAGCAAAATGCTTTTCAAGACCTCGAATTCTTTGCGAAGTATTGAAGATGAGCTTTCCTATATCTGAGCTGTTAAATAGCTCAGCCTAAGGTCTTGCAAGAAATCCTCAAGGCAAAGCTTAGCTCAGATTGCAGGATACAGTAGGCAGCTTATTCCTATTGTATAGCCACAATATGGAGTATTTTAAATTTGTTCTTTTTAGCATGATTTAGTTTTATGAACTGAAGAAAAGTCAGCATGATTTTCATGGCTTTACAATTCATCCAGGTCAGTTAATGGACATACGGTACTTGAAGACAGGGCTAGAACCTAAATTTCTTGGGCCTACTAAATAAAAGCTTTGTTCTCTAAAAGTTGCCTGCAACTTCCTTGGTAAGAATGCTTCCGCAGCTCTTGTTAACATGCATCTCCATCGTTTCCTGTTGCTTCACACCAATACTTGCCACTCACAATCATTCAAGAACAGCTGGTGCACTTCATTTTTTAATATAATATTTATTGGTTTTACAAAAATTCCAAAACATACAAAAATACAAAAATTCCACAAACAAAAAACAACAATAACAGTGACAAAAAGAAAACAAAAATAACAATATCCATAACAAAGAAAGAAAAAAGAGAGAGAAAAAAAGAAACAGAAAAGTTTAAAAATTTATACTTTCATTTAACCTTCTTATCTTTCCTTAGTTCTTTGACTTCCCCGCACCTCCCCACTTGTATTTCCATTTAGAAACTCCTTTCAGCAAATCCTTACCCTCCTTCCTTTATCTTAACTCAAAAAACTTAATCTATTTATAAATAAATATTTTTACAACCTTTCAATCAAATATTCCATGCTCTTAAACTTATTTTGCCAATACCAGTTATTTTCAATCAGACCTCAATTTAACATTCATTAATTTTATAGTATTTCTGTAGATAGTCTTTAAATTTCTTCCAGTCTTCTTCCACCGACTCTTCTCCCTGGTCACGGATTCTGCCAGTCATTTCCGCCAATTCCATATAATCGATTACCTTCATCTGCCATTCTTCCAGAGTGGGTAAGTCTTGTGTCTTCCAATACTTTGCGATAAGTATCCTTGCTGCTGCTGTTGCATACATAAAGAAAGTTCTATCTTTCTTTGGCACCAATTGGCCAACAATGCCCAGGAGAAAGGCCTCTGGTTTCTTTAAGAAGGTATACTTAAATACCTTTTTCAACTCATTATATATCCTTTCCCAGAAGGCCTTAATCTTTGGGCACGTCCACCAAAGGTGAAAGAATGTACCTTCAGTTTCATTACATTTCCAACATTTATTATCGGGCAGATGGTAGATTTTTGCAAGCTTGACTGGGGTCATGTACCACCTGTACACCATTTTCATTATATTCTCTTTTAAAGCATTACATGCTGTAAACTTCGTACCTGTGGTCCATAACCGTTCCCAGTCGGCAAACATGATGTTGTGTCCAACATCCTGTGCCCATTTAATCATAGCAGATTTTACCGTTTCATCCTGAGTATTCCATTTTAGCAGCAAGTTATACATTCTTGAAAGTGTTTTAGTTTTGGGATCTAGCAGTTCTGTTTCCAACTTTGATTTTTCCACCTGGAAGCCAATTTTTCTATCCAAATTATAGACCTCTCTTATTTGGTAATAATGCAACCAGTCTCGCACTCTATCTTTTAGTTTTTCAAAACTCTGCAATTTAAATTTATCTCCTTCTTGTTCCAAGATCTCCCAATATTTTGGCCACTTGGCCTCCATATTGGACTTTTTCAGGGCCTTTGCCTCCATTGGTGATAGCCACCTTGGGGTTCAGCTGGTGCACTTCATTTGTTCTTAGAAATGATTTTGAGAGATCGCATCGATGGCCAACATTGGTGAAAGCCAAGGCTATTAGAACCAGCAATGGAGAATGGACAGAGAAGCAACGTTTAGAAAAACTAAAGTGGCAACTTAAAAATAAATAAATTGGTATCCACTGTGTTGCTTTTGCCTTCCACCTTGATTGTCTGCAGCTTTCTGACTTGATGAGCAGTATAATATGTTCTTCTGGAGCACTGCAGTGACATCATCTCCATCAGGAGCTGGAGGAGGGTTTTTCCAGCGGAGAGATGAGAGTAGTTACAGAGAAATCATCTCCACTAATTTGCAGATCAGAGGGCTCTTTCCACTGAGCTGTGGGAGAGACCATGTGGAGATTGTCTCCCTTCATTATATAGAGGCTACATTGTCAGGATCAGAATTAGTGAGCCAAAGAGTGCCAGAATTTGAGCACTGGGCTTGTATATGAGTTTCTTCTATGGTTGTTTTTTTTCCTGAGTTGAAATTTTGGATATTCTGCTGTATGTATGCTTGTGTGGTAAACACTTCTAAGGCCCCTGTTTGTCAGTGTAAGTAGCAAGTAAACTAAAGCAGTGAAATTATGCCGTTGATAAATCTGGCTCTAAATGCTGCTTGCTTTGCTGTTGCTTCAGAAATCAGTTGACATGAGCCTTTTTAAACATTTTCACAATGTTCCTGTCTGTACTGCACCTTGTGTGAGTGTGAAGGTATATAGGTAAATTTAAAGGCCGCTCACATCTGCTAGTGCCATTTAAATGCTTAATTTCACAAGATGAGATGAGATGCATAGCCTTCCATGTTACCTGTCAGACTGAGTCTAGTTCGAACCCCACCATATGCCATCTGTGGATTTTATCATCATTATTAATTCAGGATGTTTCAGTGATACACCAGCCGTAGAGTCGAGTCCTGTATGGTGCTTCCCCCCTCCCCTTCATTTGAATGCCCACAAAATGCCAATGGTACAGCAAGTTACAATAGCATTTCTTTGCTCTTTCACTTCTCCAGACATGCTCTGACACAACACTTAAAAACGTATTGTTGTACAACCACTAATTTTCTCCTCTCTCTCTCTCTTCTTATAACACAATAAATACTTCAATATTCCACACTGTGAAGTTGTTTAGACGATGTGAAATGTATTTAGCGAGTGATAGAAATATATTTCGCAGTGTTAACAGAATTTGCCACCTTTGAGAAATGTGTTGAGTTGATTTCATCACAATTGTATTATTTCTGTGCTATCAGTTAACCATTCCTTAGTGTGGTTTAGCAAGCCCTGTAGTCTTTCCTGATCTTCATCTTAGCCATGTTCATGAAGCTACCATGTTTGGAAATACCCCAAAACACAGCCCTTTCTAGACAGTACCATTTAAGGCAACAAGTGGGGGAACTCCATGCTTGAATTCTCCCTCATAAAAGAACAAACCTTGCTTCCCTTGGATAATTCACATGACAGTAGAGCTGAAATCTTACCTGAGACATGCTACTTTCCTACATGCAGAGAGGCAGGCCTTGATGGAGTCTGACATCTTAACAAGCACAATATTAAAGGAAAAGGGAGTGGGGTGGGAAAAGGGAAGCCAACAACAGAGCAGGTTCTCTTTTACTGACTGATGGATGGGGCCATAGTCCTATCATTCCACCTATTTCTTGGCCATTGTACCCAGTCCCTATATTCTCCTGTCATTCACCCACCACCCCCATTCTCTGTGGTGCCTTCCCCTTTCCACGCCATCTTGCACCCCTGCCAGTCCCAAAGATGCTGCTCCTCTGTATTCTCCCAGAGTCGCTTCATTTGATCTGTGACCAGCAATAGGATTTCTTTCCAAATGGAGGTTGCTGTTGCATCCGTTCTTTCCAATGGGAATTTCAGTATGTAAGAAAATTCTTATTAAATTTTTATGCAGTGCCAGCTTTACTGTTGCTGAAAGATCAAGGCATAGCGTGTATGCATGGCGGCTTAGTTGTAAGCGAACACATATCTAAGACTGTCAGCCTCTTTACTGCTTTCGTGGTGGGCAAGTTAAGGGTGGTGCTTTAATTTACAATTCCCATGCCTTTTGGAGCAGAAGTGAATTTGTAAGTTTTTTGAACTCTCTTCTTAGATTGCAAGGTGGTTGTTTTTATCATACAATGGTTTAGCATGGTACAGATTCAGGTTTTGCATGAGCAGAATTTTGCTTGTACAGCGGACAGGGGGTGGGGTCCTATCCCCTCTTCCCTGTTGCAGTTCCCAGCAACCCCTGAGAGTTAGGGAACCCTCCAGCACAATGTGAGATGTGGTACTGGTGGTGGTGGGGAATGAACAGCAGTAGAACCATAGAACTGTAGAGTTGGAAGGGACCACGAGTGTCATCTAGTCCAACCTTGTGCAATGCAGGAGTCTTTTGCCCAGCGTGGGTCTTGAACCCACGACCCTGGGTTTATGAGTCTCATGCTCTACCAGCTGAACTGTACCAGTAGGGCTTAGGCAGTTTGCACAAGCAGAGTACCACATCCCATGCCATTCAAGAGAGTTCCTCAGTGCTCTGGTACAGCTTTGTGAGTGTGTAGTTGATTGTGAGAGAAGTGGGGCCAGAAAAGCCCTGCTGATGAGTAGAGTCCCACTTATGCAACCCTGATTCAGCCCTAGCATTTCTTTCTTTTCAACTAAAATTGGATCCCAAAGCAGCCTACAGCAATTAAAATCCATCACAAATGTTCTCTTTAATTCCTATTATTCCATGAGAGATAGTGGGGGGGGGGATATTTGAATGCAGACTTTTCCACTCGTAAATCTTGTGCTCGGTGTCAAGTCCTCTGTCAGTCACTTATAAATGCCATCTGCCTGTGGCAAATCTTTGGAGCTAAGGCTAATTTTGTTCATGGATTAGCAGCAGGAGGATGATCAACATTAATTGAGTCTGTAGATTTTTGGTAGCAAATGTAAGTATCACTGAAAAACACAGTTTTACAAAGAATAAAATTATCTGCTTTTGAAAAGAAGAGAAGAAGAAGAAGAAGCAGCAGCAGCAGCAGCAGCAGCAGCAGCATATCTTTATAATTGCTATTGGCTCAGGACACCAGGGCCAAAAGATAATGCTATTAACACAGAGCAAATGTATACCTTGCATAATTAACTGTCGACAGTTTTTCTTTTAATATTTGTATATTCATTAATAACCAAATGAGATATCAGTATATGAGGTATTTATATTCTGATGGCTAATTAAAGTCCTATCAGCCACCACCTCTGCTATTACAAACCTGTCATTTGACTTGAATGCATAAAATCTTTTGTGTTCCTTGACAGATGACCTGACACATTTTTCTGCTTTACGACATCATCTGAATAATCTGCAGTAATGCAATTTGATTCATTAGTATCAGGGTTTTGTTTTTGTTTTTTGAATGCATATTTTGTATATAATTTTTAAATGAGAGAATGAGGGGGAAAAGAAGCTTAATAAGAACATATCCCAGAAAACATCACAAAATTATGCTGAAACGTGTTGATATCTGTAGCTTTTTTGGCTTTTTACATTAAATTAAATTGTGTAAGAACAAGATAGTACTTTTGTTCAACTTTAGAATGCATCTAACGTGGTGATGTAAATACAAATGAGATTACATGGAAGGAGGAAGAAGAGTTATTTTTCCGGATTAATTTTTTTAGAGCAGTTAAACTTTCTACAGCAAGGTTTTTTATGATGTATCAATCCTAGCAAGTCATATAGTAAAATAATACTACAATATTTGTGTGTGGCGGTTCACTTGACACCTCCAGTCTCTGAAAAGACCAATAAAAATACAATTGGGAACCCCCAGCTTTAGATGTTCGTTCTGTGCCAGGTTTTATAACCTGCTTATTGTAATAAAGCTAGGACTAATTTTACGACGTAGGATATAGGTGAGAGGGAGAGGACTTTCACCACACTCATGGAAGCTGTTCTGCTCACACAGTGACCTGGTTGGCTGTAACTCTCTGTGTCCTAAACCATCTTCCGTGGCTTCATTTGTTAACACCTTGTATTGTATTGAATGGAACATACTAGATACAGGAAGAATCTCCCAGTTGGCTGTGCTCATAAGTCCTTATGTGTTTCAACTTTCCATTTGCTGGTTAGCATCCAGTGCTGTGTTAGCAACTTCTGAGGGCTTGGGTTATGCCCAGTGATTTGGAAAGTTCCCTCAAATTCGACAATGGTTTGTCATGATATAACCCATCTGCTGCCTGAGAAATGCAAGTTCAAAGGCCTCTTGTGTACGTAAAAATAGTTGTGAGGATCCTGGTCATGATATATGTCATTCAAAACAAGTTATGTTATGAGGTGGAGAAGAAATGCAAATAAGCAAATAATGCATGCTTGGACCTTGCCTCAGTTGGCTTACGGACTAACAGAAGCACTGAAATTTTGAGGTGTTATCTGCTGTCTCACAGTATAATTTATAGAAGTACAAGAAAGACTAAGGAGGTAGAAAGGAGACTATTTCTAGGCATCAGGAAAAATAACTGAGTAGTAAAAAAATTTTAAATTAAACCACCCAATTTAGTACAAGTTTGAAACTGGGATTTTTATTTTGTATTTTACAAAAATCCCAGGACAAATCTAACCTCATATCAGCAGACAGCAAGTCAAATTATGGCTCCAGTAAAATGAAGAGATATTCATGTTCTTTACCTAGGCCTCAATTTTGGTAAGGGGAAATTGCCAGCAGGAAATTGTGAAAACAGAAGAGGTAACAGAATTGGAGGAGGGCTAGTTCACACATGTGTATACTTAATGGCTGTGTTATCAAGTGTTGACTTGGGGGGGGATGGGCCTTTACAATGAAGCACCTAAAAACTTCCATATTCCTTTACTCCACCTCAGACATGATGCTTTTCAGTAAATTTGTTTCACGTATTCATCGGTGATCCATTGCAGGTGCATGTGATTTCATCATAAATAAAATGTTGAGTACTCCAGTGCATCATCTTATGAATGTGTGTTGTAATGCTGGTTAATATTACATTCTGCATGCTGGTGATGAATGGAGGCAATGCTGTGCCTATCAGGATGTGGTAAAAATGTTATTGTTTTCATTTTTAATCTTCTAGGAAATGGCAAAAATTCTCAACCATCCAAGAGTCTATGCATTTCTTCATGTACCAGTTCAAAGTGCCTCTGATAGCGTACTCATGGACATGAAGAGGGAATACTGTGTGGCGGACTTCAAAAGGGTAGTGGATTTCCTTAAAGAAAAGTAAGTCTAATGCATAATAAAGAAATAAAAAGCTCCTGCCACCCTGGTTTTCAGCAGTTAACCTGCAACATCACAATTAAGGTAGAAAAGAAAATAATCCTTCTGTATCTTCAGAATTTGTCTGTGCCAACAGTTGCTTTGATGTGGTTTATCCAGTGGGCTTCTAATCTATTTCAAGTTACGCCTGAATAACTATATATAGATTTTTTGGACTGTATTTCATTGAAATCTTCTTCAATGTTTCTTTTCAGGATAGTTGACACTGAGTGCAAAAAAACCTGCAATAATATAACAGGATAATACTCTCTAAAGTTGCTTTTATATTTACTGTGTATGGGATAGGATGGCTTTTGTGTGTTAATCCAAGGAATTAACTTTAGCAAATTATTACAATTTATGGCTCTAGTTCAGAATCCTTTTCCATAATGGCATGAATTATTTTGACAAAGTAGAAGTCTATTTGAAAGTGTTTTCCATTGGTTCTAACAAACAGAATCCTGTTCTTATCTAAGAAATATTTACAGCAGGCAACGTGAAATGAGCAATTCAATTATTGAGAACTGTGAACAGACTATTTACCGAAAATTGTACTGATTGTCCTTTTATGGAATGTCTGACTTATAATTATTTTAGGCTACTTTCCTATCTGGAAGTATGCACTATTAACAATGAGAATTCTGAGCAGATCTGTATAGAATAGTGCTGTTAACTATATGTATGTACCTCTCTTTTTTCTGAAGAAGTCACTGAACGAGTTAGCATTGTTGTATGAAAAGAGTTGAAAATGTTTGTAGGGGTCTAAATTATTTCTCAGCTTTTCAAGATTTTAAAGATGCAGCAGATTTTAGAAAAGGAAGTAGCCATCTTCACCAAAAAACATACTACTGTTAAAAAAGACAGAGCTCATGCTCTAGGAACTTTAATAGTTGCATTTTCCCAATGACTACTCATAATTTGGCCTTTAGTGATAAAAGTAGGATTGTTGTAAATTGTTTCTCTAGGAGCAGAAACAATATGGTCTGGGCAAGAATGGTCTGTTGTAATTAATATGTAATCACCCAAGCCTTGAAAGGGTGGGATGGTAGACCAGGTGGGAAGACCTAGATACCTCAGAGTTAGCAATGGAATAGAAATAAAGTAAATATGCATTTTTTATTTTAAATATTTTAAACCACTTTCTATCAAAGCATATACTTGTATTAATACAATCTAATTCACACATGACATAAAAATACATTCTAAAACCTATAATTGGCTAGGACGATGCTTGAACCTTTGAACAAAAAGATGTGCTAAAGGAGGAAAATAGAGATTGCAGAAAAGCTGAATGAATAGATTTTAATATTCCCCAAACCATATGTAAAAATGGCTTTGAACACTTCCAGTTGCAGTGATATTTGTAAAACTCTTAATTTCTGCACCAATAATTAACCAGAACCACGTTTTCTCTAATGACACTTAAAACTGAGCATATTGATCCCAGGTACTTCAAATTCAAGACTCCTCTTAAGGCTTCATGCAAGCAACAGAATTTAGCCCATTTTTCTTTACCTATAGATTCTGAAGCAGGAAAAAAACTTTTCTAAGGTAACTACTCCAATAAACTCCCACAGCCCACATGGGCTGTGGAACTCTACCATGTGATTACACGTAGCAAATGACCAGGAGTGATACTAAAGTTTGTTTTATTACATCACTTCTAAAAAAATATTTTATTCATTGTTAGATTGATTGGGACAGTTATTTTATTTATTGCCACTGTAATTTTACAGCATGATTGGCAATATTGTATTTTCTTCAAACAAAGCATCAAAGTATCCATTATTTTTAATTTATACTGCTTTGTATGGAACTGCATATATTCAAAGATTAAAGCTGACTCATTAATCTTTGGAGTGTTGAAAGTTGGCAGCTATTGTTACAATAGCATCTTGCTGTCAAATAACCCAGCAAAGCTGCTGAGCACACGCAGACATTGACTTATGTAGAAATGTATTCAATTGAGCAGTCATAGCACAAAATATGCATAAAATTATTTAATATCCAAATTTGACAGCTGGTTATTGAGTATATATCAGACCAACTTAAGGAATTCTCCATTAGCTTTTATTTTTTTTAAAAATGATAAAAGTTTGAAATCCAAGCTTTTTTAACATAATTATTTTTATTAAAATTGTATTAAAATTCTACCTCTTCGTGTAGTGGACCCAGTAACTAAGAGTTGCCAGACAGCATGAGAA